GTGGAGTTGAAGTCCACACCTTCAAGTTGCCAAGGTTGAGAAACTCTGCTCTAGATGTCTTAGCTTCATTCTGAGTTGAAATCTAACACACTTGGAGGGCTGTAGGCTGTAGAAGGCTTATCTTAAGTGTTTTTTGTTTGATATGGACATTTGTACTTTAGTATCCTGAGTTTGTGTTGGTACACTGCATATTGGTGAAATGTGGGCAAGAGTATGCTGCTTTACAAGATTCTCCAGACTAGAGGTTCTCGCTTGCATAGAATAGCATGAGTGCGATAGATAAAGCTGGGCTTTTGTGCGTACATGGCATATAGGCCTAAATATACTCCAACTGATCTTACTATCAGAGGGCTAACTAAGGCAGGTAACCTAGTTTGCACCTTCTTTCTGCTACTCAAAAGTGTTCTGTGAAAACCTCAAGGGAGCAAAGCCATGGTGGGTGGCAAAACCGAATCTCAATGAGCTGATCTGGTGATGCCCACGGCATGTGGAAGATTGCGCCTTGGCATGTAAGCGGGCTAAATGACCAAGGGCACAAACTGATGAATGAGAGGCAAGCAAGAAGATTAAATAAATTGTGTGCTTGTAAAACAGAGAGAAAGAGGAAGGATGTGATGGATCTGGGCGAAGGTGGTCCTATCTTGTGGAATGGGGTTGATGAAGAGATGCAGGGGAGGTTGAGTTATGAAAGAAATAGCTAAAATGTATGTCAGAAAGTGTGAACTGGTATCTTGCTTGTCCATCTTCCCAATGTAACTGTAGAGGTCATAGGCCCTGAGGGACAGGAGGAAGCGTTGCTACCAAGGCAACAGTCAGATAAGAGGGTCTTGAGCCTGGGCCAAGAAAATAACTTGAGAAAATGTCTCAGACAAGCCCCTCCCTAGTTCACACAAAGATAAAGGGAGGGAGAGAGGGGGGAAACACATTCAGTCTTGCAAGATTCAGTTTTTATAGCTGTTCCAATACAGGTAGTCCTTGTTTAGCAATCACAATCTGGACTGGCAACTTGGTAATTAAGCGAAGCGGTCGCTAAGTGAAATTGCAACTGTGCTTGTAATCTTACTTCAGCTTTTCTTTGCTTTCAGACCGGCAAAGGTTGTAAATGCGAGGACTGGTCGCAAAGTTACTTTTTCATCACCGTCATAACCGCAAACAGTTGCTGAACAGGACAGTTGCCAAATGAGGACTACCTGTAATAGTAATCCTGACCTATATGGCATTGGTTTCTTAGTCTGGTCTACCTTGCAAGGCTGGCAGTAAAATCATGAGAAGAAGGGGCACAAGCAAGATGCACCTTCTGGCAACCTTAGAGAGTGTGATGTTTGTGGGCATTAAATTCCTTTACTGAAAAGAGGGTTGGGGTACCTGCCGTGGGTGTTGCAGAACTACAGCGGGACTCTGGCCAGTGGTGGTAGTGAGTTGCTGGGAGCTGGGAGGATCAAAGATTTCCTTCTCTGATATCCAGGATGTTTAGAAATACATGAGGAAGAATGCCAATAAAGCTCCCTAATGCCATTAATTTTTGTGCGCAAGCACAGTGTCTTAATGGCAACGAAATTACCCCTGGTGAACTGGGAGTTGCCAAAGATTATAGCGAGTAATGATTTCAGTAAAGTGCCCATTGCATGAGGCACCAGTTTAAAGACAAAGAATGGTGTGCAGGGTGGGAATGTCAGACAGGATGTACACTAAAATCGTTGCCCAGGATTGCACGTCAAGCTAAGCCAGCGCAATTTTCTCAGTTTATTTGATTTATGCTGTGTGAATTCAGCAGATTGCACCTGAGTAACCAAACTATGGTTAAAGTATGGCGTAGCCATCTTAGACAGCCTTTGTCTTAAACTGTTGGATTGAACGCAGAATGTTACATCCAGACCAGAGATGGTCCCTTTGATGGTCCTACCTGTACACAAATGCGTAGTAAAAAAAAAAAATTATGGAATGCTACTTGCATTGGGGCTAAAACAGGTCTCAAGTGTGAAAAGGAGAGCAATATTTTTACAGTTTCTTTGTTCTGGGCCAAGAAACAGAATTCATTTTTTCCTCCGGGGGAATACAATGATCAGAGCGGACTACCTTCTAGGGAGAAAAAGAACAACTTTCAGCTTTCAAAAGTAACTTTCCAATCAGAAATGTTACTTTTTTTTCTTTTTTCTTTGGCAAAAAATGTGTATCCGGGACATCAGGGTGAATCATGCTGTTCTCAAACCCATTGTTTCCTGGCTTCAGATGTGAGTTAAATCCTGTCCTCATCCTGCAACTGATGCTACGCCTCTCTGGACTGAAAGTTACAGAATTAGTGAAGAGTGAAAGTGAGTGGGGTACATTTAAACATTGCAGTACAAAA